GTTACCTATATGGTAGTTACCTATATGGTTGTTACCTATATGATGGTTACCTATATGGTGGTTGCCTATATGTTGGTTTCCTATATGATGGTTACCTATATGATGGTTAGCGTTAGGATGGTTACCTATATGGTGGTTACCTATTTGATGGTTACCTATATGGTAGTTACCTATATGGTAGTTACCTATATGATGGTTACCTATATGATGTTTACCGTTATGATGGTTACCTATATGATGGTTTCCTATATGGTGGTTACCTATATGATGGTTACCTATTTGGTGGTTACCTATATGGTGGTTACCTATATGTTGGTTACCTATATGGTGGATACCTATATGATGGTTACCTATATGATGGATACCTATATGGTAGTTACCTATATGATGTTCACCGTTATGATGGTTACCTATATGATGGTTAGCTATATGGTAGTTAGCTATATGGTGGTTACCTATATGGTAGTTACCTATATGGTTGTTACCTATATGATGGTTACCTATATGGTGGCTACCTATATCATGGTTACCTATATGATGGTTACCTATATGATTGTTACCTATATGATGGTTAACGTTAGGATGGTTACCTATATGATGGTTATTTATATGATTGTTACCTATATGTTGGTTACCTATATAATGGTTACCTATATGGTGGTTACCTATATGGTTGTTACCTATATGATGTTTACCTATATGATGGTTACCTATATGGTGTTTACCTATATGATGGTTACCTATATGGTGTTTACCTATATGATGGTTACCTATATGGTGGTCACCTATATGATGGTTACCTATATGTTGGTTACCTATATGATGGTTACCTATATGATGGATACCTATATGGTAGTTACCTATATGATGTTCACCGATATGATGGTTACCTATATGATGGTTACCTATTTGGTGGTTACCTATATGGTGGTTACCTATATGGGGGTTACCTATATGGTGGTTACCTATATGATAGTTAGCTATATGGTAGTTAGCTATATGGTGGTTACCTATATGGTGGTTACCTATATGGTAGTTACCTATATGGTGGTTACCTATATGGTTGTTACCTATATGATGTTTACCTATATGATGGTTCCCTATATGATGGTTACCTATATGGTAGTTACCTATATGATGGTTACCTATATGGTAGTTACCTATATGATGTTCACCTTATGATGGTTACCTATATGATGGTTACCTATATGATTGTTACCTATATGATGGTTAACGTTAGGATGGTTACCTATATGGTGGTTACCTATTTGATGTTTACCTATATGATGTTCACCGTTATGATGGTTACCTATATGGTAGTTACCTATATGGTAGTTACCTATATGATGTTCACCGATATGATGGTTACCTATATGATGGTTACCGTTATGATGGTTACCTATATGATGGTTACCTATTTGGTGGTTACCTATATGATGGTTACCTATATTGGTTACCTATATGGTGGTTACCTATATGATGTTTACCTATATGATGGTTACCTATATGATGGTTACCTATATGGTAGTTACCTATATGATGTTCACCGTTATGATGGTTACCTATATGATGGTTACCTATATGGTGGTTACCTATATGGGGGTTACCTATATGATGGTTACCTAGATGGTGGTTACATATATGATGTTTACCTATATGATGTTCCCCGTTATGATGGTTCCCTATATGGTAGTTACCTATATGATGTTTACCGATATGATGGTTACCTATATGGTGTTTACCTATATGGTAGTTACCTATATGGTTGTTACCTATATGATGGTTACCCATATGGTGGTTACCTATATGATGGTTGCCTATATGGTGGTTACCTATATGATGTGCAGCGTTATGATGGTTACCTATATGGTTGTTACCTATATGATGTTTACCGATATGATGGTTACCTATATGGTGTTTACCTATATGGTAGTTACCTATATGATGTTCACCGATATGATGGTTACCTATATGGTTGTTACCTATATGATGGTTACCCATATGGTGGTTACCTATATGATGTGCAGCGTTATGATGGTTACCTATATGGTGTTTACCTATATGATGGTTACCTAGATGGTGGTTACATATATGATGTTTACCTATATGATGTTCACCGATATGATGGTTACCTATATGGTGGCTACCTATATGATGGTTACCTAGATGGTGGTTACATATATGATGTTTACCTATATGATGTTCCCCGTTATGATGGTTCCCTATATGGTAGTTACCTATATGATGTTTACCTATATGATGTTCCCCGTTATGATGGTTCCCTATATGGTAGTTACCTATATGATGTTTACCGATATGATGGTTACCTATATGAAGGTTACCTATATGATGGTTACCTAAATGATGGTTACCTATATGATGGTTAACGTTATGATGGTTACCTATATTATGGTTACCTATATGATGGTTTCCTATATGGTGGTTACCTATATGGGGGTTACCTATATGATGGTTAGCTATATGGTAGTTACCTATATGGTTGTTACCTATATGATGTTTACCTATATGTTGGTTACCTATATAATGGTTACCTATCTATATGTTGGTTACCTATATAATGGTTACCTATCTATATGTTGGTTACCTATATAATGGTTACCTATCTATATGTTGGTTACCTATATGATGGTTAACGTTATGATGGTTACCTATATCTGATGGTTACCTATATGATGGCTACCTATATGGTGGTTACCTATTTGATGGTTACCTATATGATGGTTAACGTTAGGATGGTTGACTATATGATGGTTATTTATATGGTGGTTACCTATATGGTGGTTACGTATATGGTGGTTACCTATATGATTGTTACCTATGTGATGGTTACCTATATGATGGATACCTATATGGTAGTTACCTATGTGATGGTTACCTATATGATGTTTTACTATATGATGGTTACCTATGTGGTGGTTACCTATATGATGGTTAACGTTAGGATGGTTGACTATATGATGGTTATTTATATGGTGGTTACCTATATGGGGGTTACCTATATGATGGTTACCCATATGGTGGTTACCTATATGATGTGCAGCGTTATGATGGTTACCTATATCTGATGGTTACCTATATGATGGATACCTATATGGTAGTTACCTATGTGATGGTTACCTATATGATGTTTTACTATATGATGGTTACCTATGTGGTGGTTACCTATATGATGGTTAGCTATATGGTAGTTAGCTATATGGTGGTTACCTATATTATGGTTACCTATATGGTGGTTACCTATATGATGTTCACCGTTATGATGGTTACCTATATATGATGGTTACCTATATGATGGTTACCGTTATGATGGTTACCTATATGATGGTTACGTATATGATGGTTACCTATATGGTGGTTACCTATATGATGGTTACCTATATGATGGTTACCTATTTGGTGTTTACCGTTATGGTTGTTACCGTTATGGTTGTTACCGCTACGATGGTTACACTTAAGATGAAGGTTATCCTGGCTGCAAGCTTGTTTTTTGGATGAAGTGTTCCTCGTCATGGTATGTTTCACACGAATAGATTTAAAATTTAAATCGTTTTTTATATTAAGGTTTTTGATATTCGATCAAACTCCGAAGCAGTTCACATTTTGTTCAAATTTCGAAAATTCAAAAGCACTTTTAGATCTTTGAACATATATTATAGAGTTTGAATAAATGTAAATACACAAAGATAAATCGAATTTTGAAAAATTGTACGGACCACAGTGACAGTCTTTTCCTTCATCTTCGGCTTGTGAGAATTGAAAATATTCTGATTTCAGTATTTCTTACATCGGCCGAGTGTGCTCGTTACATGGCCAGCAAAAGGACCCCCGGTCGGGTAGATATGTCCTAACCGAGGAGGAGGAGGAGGAGGAGGGGGAGGAGGAGGAATAATATATCGGAAGAGTTTGGGTGGAGATGGATACTTTTAGTGTCTACACGTACGAGGGAGGGGTTGCGGGAGGTAGGGGTCGTAATGGGGGAGTAGGAAGTAGGAATTGTATATTGGTACTGGCGGATGATTAAAGGACGAAGGACGAGGAAAGTAAGATCAAAGAATAAGATTATCTAAGCCGTGGATACAGGATTTTTTTGTCGGGATCGATATTTTAAGGGTCTTCACGGGGGAGAGATTGGCGGAGACAGGGGCATATGATTAAAACGGGGTATATCAGTATACACTTGTATTTGAAGGAATTCAATTTTTTCAACTGTCATATTTTCACCTCATCAAGCAACCATACATCCACAGACAGGATTGGAATAAGATTAGATCTAGATAAGTCTGTGATGCAGAGCTTCTAACTTAAAGCAGAGACGTTTATATATAATACTACTATATGACTTTATATGTCTCTGATTTTATATATACATATATATATATATATTCACTATAAAAATCATTGATACGTTTGATCACGGACTTAGAAAATCAAATTCCGTGGTTTGATAACGTATTCACTTGTGTCTATATGTTTACATTGGAAAGGGATGGAACAGCAGACATTTAAAATTTAAAATACCAAAATATCTAGTCTATACAGTCGCCATATGTCCACTGGTGAAAGGGTGACTTACAGATGACTATATACATATACGTCCCGCTCCTAAATAAAAAGCATGCAGACCAGAAAAACTGTTCTGCGGCAGTGAGAGAAAAATAATTATAATACTAAGCTTAACGCTATTTCATCATAAAAAATAATGGCACAGTTTTAACCTATCTGAATTTATATCGGATACTCAACATTATGTCTGAGGCTTACAGATTAATCTTTGGCACGTGGATGGAACGCCTAGACGTTCGACCGCTAATCTGATTGGTTGATCTCCGAACCTCTCTGTCAATCAATAGTCATTTCCATCGCTTAAATCCAGAGGCCTGAAAAGGGGTAATTTATGTACTGAAATGATTCAATACATTTGTCAGAGAGTATAAAAAATAACCACATGTGTGATTTTACCGCTTAAACAATTTATTCTTCAACAGAACTTGAAAAAGTTGTAGCATTTGGCTACTTTCCGAAATTTTCTGACACACTGATTACAAATATCTGGATAAGTAGCCTACAATCCGTGAAAGGATGAAAACACTCGCCGTATCACAACCCGAATCAAAGATCAATCCGCCATTCTACCAGAGAAAAAAGCAGCCATATTAAAATAACTATTTTCGTTTGAAATTAGTATAAATCTAAATATATGTACAAAAGTGGTGAGAAAACACGAGACTAGACATCAGCTCGTCTCGGAAGTTAATCGAAAGCGTCAGGTTAAGCCTGAAACATCGACAATTACTCGCTCCTCCGCGGAGGGATATATTGTGTGTTGGTTTAGCGTCAGCGACAAAGGCAAAGGAATATGTCAGCGCTGATCGGGTGCTACTGAGGATATCAAAGTGGCGAAAAAAGTAGGAATAACTTTTAGGAAGTTCGCCACGAGCATACCGGCTGACCCGAACGATATTTAGGGATGTTAAATTCGGACGGTTTAGGTGAAGGACAACAAGCATGGGGCGATCGGCGACCAAGGTAGGTAGAAATCAAACGGCCGTCGGACCCCTGAATGGTCGCCATTTTGACTGTTGTTCGGGGCCCATTGTCACAAAAAGCTTATCTTGCAAGGCGAGAACTAGTTCCGATTTTCTACTTTCACTCACGTACTGTATAAATGTTGTCATTGGTGTCCTGAAAATCATTAGTTATTCCAAAGTGGTCCGAAATATGACACTGTTAACCTATTGTCCCATGCTGTTTGAATACGCTATAATTTCACAATGTATGGAGTGTAGGAAAGCTAGACTTTCATAAAAAACGGTTTCCGATGGTCCTGGGATGTTTGGAAGGTCCGTGTGAATAGCTCGCCCTTCTCCCTTCGACTGTTGGTGACGAGTGTTGTGTGTAATAAGTGGCGGAGACACAGATGTACGCCAACTGTTGCTAGCCAGAAACGTCCATGATCAAATCGTGGGCCCCAACACATGGTCCTACAGCAGATGTCAATACCACCACAATCACACAGCTGATAAATCGCAGGCCACACGTGTAATTAATACAGCCAGCATGTGTAAACAAAACATGTGCACCGTAAAACCCGTGTAAAAATCACAGCGACCATGTCACAACAAATCCAATACACAACCCCAATACACACGTGCAGTGCAATACACAACCCCAATACACACGTGCGATGGGAACATTCTCAAGTGGTGTCCATTTAACCTGCTTTAAAAATATGATTTAAATGCAGCAATAAATGTTTCAATAATAACATTTTCAAATTTAATTAAAATACTTAAGTTATTACATAATTAATTGGTCTTGATACAAATTGCTTAATGGCATTATGATGTATGTAAAAAGGGGACATAAGAAACATAATCATATTCATATCTATTTTGGGACAGGATCACTACAGCTAGACAACAGGTGCAAAAATACACCATACAATGGGGAGCAGAACCATAAAAATGCATGGCTCCAAATGTTGTGTATGCGTACGACGTGCATTACATTAGTTTTCCCAGACATATACTTTCGGGATCAGATACCTACTGTGGTGTCACAATTATGTTAGTGGTCCATATCTGACACACATTACATACAGAAAAGTCATACACGTCGTGGTTCTGTGTGACCACATACTGCATGTGACACTGATGAGTGTATCACACACAAGGATAGATCATATGTGATTTATAGACATCACCTAAATATCTGATTTAATATCATGTTTATTAGCTTTTGTGTGCATAGCATACAGAATCTGTGACAAACATCCCGAGGTACAGTGTTACCTTGATCACATGCACATTACATGCAGAATCTGTGACAAACATCCCGAGGTACAGTGTTACCTTGCACACATGCACATTACATAGTCCTCAGGTTTATGTCCTACACCTTAGTGTATTGTTCATACACCATGGTACATGTTCTGTGTGTAATGGATTCACATGTGTACATTGTCCTCATCAATGTAAGGTGAGGTGTACCATAGTGCATGTGCATTAAATGCATGTGTACAAAGTTTCAAGGCAAGTATCAACTCATTCACCCCTACATATTTAAACTGGACTTACCCAGTCTTTGATCTGGCATGGTTCAAATGTCCAAGACAAGATAATGAGAAATATGTGAAATTATTAGTCATCTGTATTTAATTAAGAATTTTTCAAAAAACTTCACAATACATACTCCAACAGTGACTTTTGGGAGGCGTATATATTTGAGTCTTGGCCCAAAGTTGAACCCATTCACCCCTGAAGTCACATTTTGACCTTACCAAATCAAAGACTGGGCAAGTCCAGTTTATAAATGTAGGGGTGAATGAGTTTTTCCTGGAGTCAAAATTGTTTTTTAAAATGATGTTCAGGATACTCTTTAAAAAAAATCTTCAAAAATCCCTTTTCTTTATTCAGATAAAACTTGGTCAACATGTTGATTTCCTTTGGCTCTGTGTTGAAAACATCTTCTATCAAGCTGACAATACTTGTTCTCAATTGTTAATCGGGCAACAAGAGATTGACATATTAAATTCTGTTAAAATCAATAGAGGATTTAAAACTAAATGAACAAGTTCAATATTTCTTTTTATCTGACAATAAGAACACATGTCACACTGTCACAAGCTACTGGTGTATATATCGATCAATTCTGTCACTTGATTCATTATCTTTGATATGGATGAAAATATATATGATTCTGCTTGAGGGGAAAAAGTCAAAAATTGAGATTTTCCTTTCATAAATTTGTGACTGGAAAATTGAGCTACCTTTTCCTGTTTTGCAAATTTCCGAAATAAGATGTTGGAAGTTTTTCAATGTTTTACTCAATGAAACCATGGACATCATATATACGATAGTGTAACAATTAACAATATTGTAAGACCATTTTGTAACTATTTCCCCCAGTTTGATGCCTAATGCCATCTACTTTAGATTCAGTTTGCAGTTTTCTTGTGGAAACTGTCATAATTTGTCTCAAATGTTCAGCAAGTATTTCACTAAAATCTTGAAAAATGTAGAATAATAATTTGTTTCAGTCCATAAAGAAAAGAAAGACACAAAACTTAAAAAAACCAGAGGCTAGACATATTTTACAATCTGAAATCACACTGTTAATATCATACTGAATTGGGAACAACTTGACGATAGATCCAATATTTCTGAAAGCATGCTGTGGCTAGATTATGAAAACAATAGTCATTAACCAAAAACTAAAGCAGAAATTTGCAGTAGTTTTATTTAAGGAATTAAAGTTTAAAACTTCTTGGGTCAAACTGGTGGTTTAGGCAAAACAAAAAATATTTGGTGTTTCCGGTAACCCTACCTATAGCTACCCCTAATTGAAGGCAATTTATGACTCTCCTTATATGTAAACAATATAAAATCTTTTTTTTTTTTTTTTTTACCTACCCTAATTTTTTTGAAGACAACTTTCAAAGAAGTACTGTTTGGGTCGAGATTGCTCTCTTTATGTAAACAATATAAAATCATTTGTTAAAGTATTTTGTTTTACCTACCTACCCTAATTTTTTCCAACATGTTACAGGAAACACATATGTTTTATTTGCCTTCCCTAAGCAGGCCAAGTGAAGTTACTGTTGAAGCTAACATTAAATATTCAACTAAGTTGATGAGACCCAGGGCTAACTTACAAGTTCATGTATATATATGTGGCTGTCTTGTGTCCGGAAGTCTGTGTGTGGATTACAGGTAAACCAACTATGTATTTTCAGAAATGAGATGCCACCGTATTTTAGAACTCCTGCACCCAGTATGCATTCTCGAGGCCCTGGCCTCATGCACGGTCACCCTATGCCGTATCGGGGCCACATGGGTCTCCCTCCACAGGCCTCGCAGCATGTGCCCACAAATGTAACGGTCAGTATCCATTGGTTCAACATTAAGGTTTGTGTTGCTTTCCCATTGCAGATTCGCGTCCGGAAACGCTCGATTCGCCGAAAGAATTGTGAGCGCTCACGCAGACAAGGAACTTAATGACTTACTTGATTTCAGTGCGGTGAGTTTGTCGTTTCTATGGTCTCCGGTACCATTTCCATGGTTACCGGTGCCCGTTTCCATGGTTATTGGTACTGTTGCCATGGATGTTTTTTAGACACCTGTCCATGTTTGTATCCCAATTTTGTTTGCTTGCTTCACCTATTTTTGGTTGCATTATATTAAAGTTTTTATTTTCCCTTTTCAGTTTTGTTTAGTTTTTGCCTGTATCATTACTGCTGCAAGTCCAACCTGATCAATATTTCAAGTTTCGTTCATTTTCCATTTGTTATTCGTGATTGTATTTTTCATTTATGATTGATGTTGTCTGCATGGCGATTGTTGTTGTTGTCTCCTCTTTGCATGTGCTTTTCATTTACCTCCTACTTCCTCTGCTCTCATCATGATATTTAAGTTGGTATCCATCATTTGTCTGGGGAAGAGTTTCCTCCCTTAAACATGCATGTACTGAGACTGTTTCTTCTACCTTCCTCCTTTGTTTGCGCATGTGAATATATGCAACTTAATTCCTGGGCTTTGATTGATATGAAGGTATTTATAAAATTAAACCAGATCATACATTTTATGGCGAAGATCATTTACACTTCCTTTGCTGGTTACCATCTGTGTTCTGTCATTGTTCATTATAGACATTTTTTTTTAAACATTGAAGATATTGTATTTATTCATAAAATTATCATTTATCATAATACTATTACTTGTGTCGTGCTCAAGATCATAAGAAATAATGCATCAGTACTTAATAATTTTGTGTCGCTGAATATGTATATTTGCTCCATACCTTCATCTTCTATAACAATGCTCATTATTTATGAATTGCAAATATTAATGGATTTTTTTTTTCAGAAATTAAATCAGGCTACAGAGTTTAGCCATTTGTCTTTAAGGATTGAGTGTGTCATGTGAATGATTAAGATTTATGACTGTTAATACACGTATCAAGGAGGTGACAATTTCTGTGTTTATTGTTTAGGACTATAAAATTATTAGGGAGTGCACACATTTGGTTGATTTCACAATGCGTATTGAAAATTCATTGATTGTGTAACTGGTTAAATTTATAATTTGTTGGTATACAAAAGGAGAAATGATATTGATATTTAATCTGGGATAATCCTGGACGGGGCCATGGGGTCATTGATCCATCAAAACTGAAATTGACCCCTCTATGATCCAAGTTTCTTCTAATTTTACATTATTTTGATATTGACCTTGAAATTGCTGAAAATGGCCCACTGCTCTCAAATTTCAGGATTTTCCCTGTGTGATAAAAATACTTTGCAAGACAAGAAAAAAGTAAGGGCAAGCTGAAAGAAAGAAAGTTTTTGAGATTACTTTATTTTTTTCTTGAAAATATGGCTTTTGATAATGTCCCCGCATACATTTGTAACTTATCATCCATATTGGACTACAAGCTGTTGCATGAGTGCCACGCCATACTGTGTTTGTATTTCTATAAAATCTATTGATTTGCTATAAACTTTTGTCATTTTCATCCGTATGAGTTTCGTCCTGATCAATGTCGGATGTTCCTGCATCTTTGGTACAGGGTTATAACGTAAACATACCAATATTTCTGTTGATATGCCAAACATCAGGTCATGTGGACTAGGTTGTCCAATATCATTACTGCAGGCTGAGGAGGTGGACTAGGTTGTCCCAATATCATTACAGCAGGCTGAGGCGGTGGACTAGGGTGTCCCAATATCATTGCTGCAGGCTGAGGAGGTGGACTCGGTTGTCCCAATATCATTACAGCACGCTGAGGCGGTGGTCTAGGTTGTCCCAATATCATTACAGCAGGCTGAGGCGGTGGACTAGGGTGTCCCAATATCATTGCTGCAGGCTGAGGAGGTGGACTCGGTTGTCCCAATATCATTACAGCAGGCTGAGGAGGTGGACTACGTTGTCCCAATATCATTACTGCAGGCTGAGACGGTGGACTGGGTTGTCCCAATATTATTACTGCAGGCTGAGGCGGTGGACTAGGTTGTCCCAATATCATTACAGCAGGCTGAGGCTGTGGACTAGGTTGTCCCAATATCATTACAGCACGCTGAGGAAGTGGACTAGGTTGTCCCAATATCATTACAGCAGGCTGAGGAGGTGGACTAGGTTGTCCCAATATCATTACAGCAGGCTGAGGCGGTGGACTAGGTTGTCCCAATATCATTACAGCAGGCTGAGGCTGTGGACTAGGTTGTCCCAATATCATTACTGCAGGCTGAGGAGGTGGACTAGGTTTTCCCAAAACATTACAGCACGCTGAGGCGGTGTGGCTAAAGGACTAACAGCTGAACAAAAATAATCAGTTTACAAACTCCCTGTTGACAGCTTCTTTACAAAGACATCTTTCTGACATCCATAAAGGCTAAAAATTCACCAAATCTTTTCTTTTGGAAGTCGTCCTGATATATCTTTAGAGGCAAATCATATTTTAGTAATATTTCACTTCACAATAGATAGACATGATGGTATTTAATATTGAAGATAGGTAATGAGAATTATTTTGACAATCCGTTGAATAGGTTTGATTTGTCTTCACTCTCCCTTCACTATAGATAGACTTGAGTGTATTATTGGTGGAGGTTGTTTAGAATATATATTACCTGCAAAGGAAGTACATCCTAGTCATGAACTTATTTTTAACACTTTGTACATTTTCTCTCCTGAATATTGGTGTTCTTTTTACCAAAATTTTCAACAGCCTGTTCCTTTATATAGATGAATTGGGGGAAAATATAGCACAATTTTTATTGAAATTGGGAGGATATTCCTCAATTTTTTGGTCATTTTGGGAAAACAAGGCACTTTTTAACTCAGGGAAACAGCCTGTATTCGGTAGTAAAACTGAGCAAAAAAATCACTGAATATATCAAGTATTTTTGTGAAACAAAAAAAGACTGTTGGGAATGTAGTAACAATTTATTTATGAAAGCCTGTTCAATTGACCACATGTTGTGTACTTGTAAACAGCATTACTGTAGTAATATAATACCACCGATTTAGCTGATAGGGGCAGGTCACTCTTAATACCATCACATTATCTCACCTACTATAATTAACTTGACCAGCCTGATTAAACACTGGACAATGGTGAGGTCCAGAGAGTAAGCTGCCCAGTGGTCAAGTTCACACCTTTGTAGCCGATTGTCACACCACAGTGATAGGGGATTAGCTGGGCATTAGTGGACGGATTACCCACAGCCAAGGAATGTCCCAACAGGGGTGGATGTTCTTAATTCTGTGTCACAAAGTTCTATGATTACAACCCTGAAATAGGATAAAATGTTGTCATTTTGAAGTACAGACGTTTGTTTAAAGGTGTCATGATCATGATAGGTGTGACATAGGGGTGGCAATGTGTCCTGGTTTTGTTTATACCCCTGGGTTGGCTTCCTAAGTCCACACCCAGTGGACAATTTACCACTTTTTGAAAGTAAAACTTGTTGAGTTAAAGAAAGTAAATAGTTGTTTTACATCGCAGCAACCCCTAAAAGTTATTCTCGCACTGAATTTATACTTCACCAGGTCGAAGGCCAAGCAAGATACTACAGTTCTTCTGCTTTCATAAATATAGGGCTTGTTTTGAATGGAAATTATAGATCTGAACTTCTGATTCCTGTTGTAAATAATTCAGACTTCAAAATCAATAATAAATTTAACTTTATTTACGACTTTTTTGGTGATTTTTTGGTGGGCAACAGGTTGGAAACATTGTTGGATATACACCTATATGAACATTTCTTCTCATGATAAATACAGATTTTCCAGGTTACTTTTGCATGTTTTCATTTTTTTTTAAACATTTAATGTATATATTACAGAAAAAAAAATCAGATACATAAATAACTTGCCACATTCTATTTTGAATTGCTCATAATATATTGTATTATAGCAGGTTTTTTTTTCAAGAATGTATATACCGGGACACTCTAACTGAGCCTAGAATTTATGGACTTAGAAGTTTGTAAATAATCTTTTTCAGAAATGTTTACTATAAGTTGCCAGATTGTTGTAAATGGATATAAATGTTTCTTTTTAATTTCAAAAAAATGGCACCAGATTCAAAAATATTAAGTTTTTCCATTAAAAGACATTGCTGTGAAAGAAAATTTCCTCCAATTAAGATTGCCATACTGGAGAACCGTTAGTGTTACTAGGTCTGTCAAGGGATGATAGCCTACTTAGATTTGACAGAGTGTCGCAGTATAATTTACATGTTGATTGATAGTGGAGGTCTATTTTTATACACAAACAGTAGTCATATAAGTTAATTGATTGTATTGTAAAACAAGTGACTTGCAGGTTTTATTGGGGCTTTATAGGGTTTTCAGATCAGACATTTATTACAAGAGTTTGACAATTTTTTAAAAGGTGACTGAAAGAGACTTGAAGGCTAGTGCTGTAGGAAGGGGTGGGGTGGGGGGTAAGGGGCTGAATAAGGAAGAGGATGGGGGATATATTGATGAAGGCTAGTGCTGAGGAAGGGGTGGGGTGGGGTAAGGGGCTGAATAAGGAAGAGGATAGGGGAAATATTGGTGAGAGGGGCTAGAGACGGTGCATAAAAACAGAAAACTGGACTTTTTCAATATTTCGGGAATGGGGCTTAAGGCTCTTGTTGGTCCATATGGAAGTGTGGCAGAGATATCCCACCTGGTCAGGTGACCAAATACTGTTCATGTCCAATCAAGGAACAAGTGCTAGTTTCAATTTAAATATATATATAGGAAAATCAAGAATTTAGTTTAAAATTGAATAAAAATTGTCAATGTTTTGTTTAACAAGGAGGGGTCAGTTGGTGCATGTTTTCAAATTAACAGAAAGTTAAATCAACAGAAAGTTAAATCAACAGGATACAAAATGTCTTAATACCTTGCTTGTAAAATATGGAAACAACTATATATATATAGCTATTAGATGGTAATATTATTGACAAAAACAGAATTGTTTCGACTTGCTCCAAGTCCTCTATGAACTGGGACCTTGGTTTGGAGACCTAGTAATAGAAGGTATATCACTGTTCTGTTATGTGAACTGAAATTACTGTTTAATTCATTCACCCCTGAAATTTCATGATGAACTATTCCAACCTTTGAATTGGAAGAGTTCAAATGTGTCTTCAGGGGTGAATGAGTTAAATTGGGAAACTTAAATAGCTGTGATAGACGAACTGCAAAGGTGCAGACATAGCAACAGCTTTAACGATTTCAAGTTTAAAAATGTTCCGATACGTCCATGTTATGTGATATCAATGATATAGTTAATTAATTGCAATTATTGTAACAGTCTATTTGTACCAAGATTATGTTACTAATACTGGTAAAATTTTGTAAATTACAAATGTTTTTGAGTAGTTGCCTACTGGTAATTGATCTTGATATATATACAAGGCGGTTTTCAGTTTCATTAAGATGAATTTGGCTTGATACCCTGGTAGTAAATTTCAGTTCTTACCAACTATTGAATATGCAAGAATATTATGATTATTTACAGTTTCTTCATGTGTGCTGTTTGTTTTCATATTTTGTAGAAACCAGGAATTGTATGTGAAATATTACTTTTAAATATTTCTTTCTTGAAATAATTTTTATGGGGTGCTTTAAAACTCTTAACAGTGTAATCAACTATTGATAGATTTTATCATGTTTGTCAATTTTCTTCCAAAAACTCTTCAAAGAAAACACAATTAATTTACAAATTTTGTGTTTGAAAATGAATTAGCTCAAATATTAATAAGATTAACAGAACAACTGACCTCTTTTTATCATTGGAAGTATTAATAAAACATTCATTTGTGTACAACATCATAAGGGTATAACGTATTTGCCTGCAGACAGATCATGAAAAATTCTATGTCTCCAAAATTCAATAGCTATATAGTCAAAACATAAAATCCCACGGTACAGTCCTGGACATCGAGCTAGTAGGATTGTACACCTCATGTAAACAGAGTATTGCTTGTTTAAAAATGATTCTGTGAGGAATTTCATTTGTGTCTCATACTTGTACATTATTGTATCTGTAGTTGTTATCATTTTCAAAAGAATGACAGCATATTAAATAAACAGGTGAATCTTTGTTTTTTGTCTGTATTTCAATTTTGAAAATCTGTTTTATTTTGTGCAGATGTTTTCACCACCGGTGTCCAAGAATGGTCCTCCTGGCGGCCCCTCAGGGGCAGGGCCTGGACCTGGGGCTGGACCTGGACCTGGGCCTGGGGGCAATATGGAGTTTGGGGGATACAAGTCTGGTAACCGTAAGTAATCAATTTTTACCATTTTTACCAAATTACCTGTCTACAGGGACCAGAAAGAGTACAGGTCTCTCTTGAGAAACTCGCCCTCAATATAGAGTACCAGTCTTGAAAGACCAGCCCTCAATGTAAAATATCTGTCTTGAAAGACCAGCCCTCAATGTAGAGTACCTGTCTAGAGAGACCAGCCCTCATTGAGATTACCTGTCTAGAGAGACCAGCCCTCAATGTAGAGTACCTGTCTCGAGAGACCAGCCCGCATTGAGATTACCTGTCTAGAGAGACCAGCCCTCAATGTAGAGTACCTGCCTCGAGAGACCAGCCCTCATTGAGATTACCTGTCTAGAGAGACCAGCCCTCAATGTA